AAGATATATACTAATAATATACTTTAGTGAAACGAGGAAGGGTTTTAGCAACATAGAATTACAAAGAGAGATAATGATTTTTTACCAGTTCTTTGAAGATAGTGATCGATTGTGCCTGTCTTATGGAAGCCGGAAGAGCATTCCAAAGGCGAACAGCTTGGACGGTAAAGGAGCCATCATAAAAGGTAGTGTTATGGAGAGGAGTTTCAAGTTTCAGGTTTTCCGATGATCTCAAAGAATGTGTAGTGGAACAGTATAGAGGATTAAATCGTTCTTTCAAGTAGCGCGGGAAACGGGGATTAAACAGAATATTATACAGAAGAGATAACATGTGAGCATTCCGGCGAAGTCGAATAGGAAGCCACTTGAGCTGAGTACGAAATTGAGATATATGATCATATTTACGTAATCCAAATATAAATCTAATACAGAAGTTTTGAAGTCGCTCAAGTTTATTTAGTTGGTCTTCCGTAAGATCAAGATAACAGGTATGAGCGTAGTCAAGTAAAGGAAGCAACAGAGATTGTGCTAGAGCAATTTTAGTGGTAGTCGGCAAAAAATTACGTAACCTCCTTAATGATGCAGCAGAAGCATACAGCTTCCGACTAACAGCTTGCAATTGTGATCCCCAGTTCAGACTCCGATCTATGATTATACCCAAGTTTTTAACAGTATCACTAAAAGGTATGTCAGTACCATCGAAATGAATTTTTGGTAAGAGGTGCCAGTCAAGTTTAGCGATTAGCCTAGAACTACCCACTATGATCGTGTTAGTCTTTGTTGGATTTACTTTAAGTCCAAAAGACTTACTCCATGCTACTATACGTTCTAAATCAATATTAGTGGTATGCACTGCCTCATTTAGCCGTGAAGGAGGGGCTTGACTGTAGATTTGTAGGTCGTCTGCATAAAGGTGGTAGGAAGAAGAAAGGTTCTTAGAAATGTTGTTAATGAAAATTGCGAAAAGAAGAGGAGATAGAACGCCACCTTGTGGGACTCCGGCAGTCGTGTCGCACCAAGAGGAAAACTTCTCGTCAATACGTACTCGTTGCCGGCGTCCGTACAGATAACTGTGAAACCACTCAGTTGCGGATGGAGATATGTTAATAGAGCGTAGAAGGGAGAGTAGGATGTCAAAATTTACAGTGTCAAACGCACAACTGAAGTCTAACAAAGTTAGTACGGTTAAAAGACCATTTTCCATCCCAAATCGGATATCATCGGTGATTTTAATCAATGCAGTTGTGGTACTGTGGCCCACACGAAATCCAGATTGAAAAGGGTTTAAGAGTTCATGACGAGAAAGGAAACAATTCAATTGGTTATGGATAAGACGCTCGAGAACTTTGGATAGGAATGGGAGAATAGAGATAGGTCTAAAGTCAGAAAAAGATTTAGGATGAGGTTTTTTAGGAAGAGGAATAATTTGAGCTAGCTCAGTTTTTCAGTTTTTAGCTAGCTCAAAGCTCAGTTTTTCCTTCCGCTTGGAAAGACCAAGCGGAAGGAAAAACTGATTTGGATAAAGAGTTGTTGAAAATAGAGGAAAGGACAGGAAGTATGAAATCAAGTATAGGTACTAACATGTTGCGACTAATTCCATCAGCACCGACTGCGTTGGAATTGATAGATAAAATGCTCTTCTTAACATCACATTCCGTAAACTGAGTAAAAAGAAACGGGGAGTACTCAGGATTTGGTAAAGTAGAAAGTTGTTGAATGGTTCTATTTTTATCCGAGTCGCTAAGATCGGAGGAAGAAGAAAAATGAGAATTGAGAGAATCAATATTAATGTGAAAGTTGTTGAATGGTTCTATTTTTATCCGAGTCGCTAAGATCGGAGGAAGAAGAAAAATGAGAATTGAGAGAATCAATATTAATGTGATGAGGTAAGGAGTCTTGACGTGTTCTACCAATCCCAAGAGATCTGAGGAATCTCCAGACTTTAGCTGGATCATCCTCTTCGACTGAATTATGAATGTGGCGTCGTAAAGCATCCCTACACACCATATTGCAGTGGTTACGAACCTTGTTATATTTCTCTTTGTTGAGATCACTCGGATTACGTTTAAATTTGCTTTTGGCAATGGCTTTTTTATGTATCAGAGATTTTATATATCAATATAATATATATATCAATATATCATAATGAAGTTGCAAAATCGCGTCTGTCACAATTTAACAAACACCATTTATAACCGTAGAACTGCTGTACCGATCATTATGATTTTTGCAAATAAATAAATTAAAACTCTCTCGCAGAATAAATTAATAAGAATAATGATTGAAGATTCTTATTAATTTATTCTGCGAGAGAGTTTTAATTTATTTATTTGCAAAAATCATAATGATCGGTACAGCAGTTCTACGTACTAAACAATTATAGCACACAAATAATTGTTTAGTTAAAGTTAAGGATATGGAGGACCGGTAAGCAAGGGATGCCTCTCTCGAAATTTGTCGTTAGTATTTCTTGACGGCATTCAGCAGTTTGTGCCAACCTTATCGCTTACATGACGTATATAACCAACGCTTGTGAGTTCATCACACATACATATAAATAAATAAATATGACCAAAAAGTTTGATCCCAACAAATTCCAAATTTCATATTCATGCAATATAAAATTATATTTCAAGCACTTTGATATACTAAACAGAATGTTAACAATCATTTTGAGTGCATTACCTGTCGAATTACATTTAAACAATAAATTCTAAACAATACTAATGTCTTGGCTGTCGAGTAACATTTGCCGTTGACTGTACTCAACTGCTACTTCCGTTCCCGCTGACGCTGATTACGTCACAGCTGTCGACGACGCATTAAGCTTTTAGCATACACAACTCAAAAGCATGATAAGCATTGACGGCCCTTTCACACTTCACTTTCAGGGATTCATCGTTAAAACAGTTTATACTTGTATATAGAATAATATTTAGATAATTAGCTACTTCTAACAAAGATGTAATATTTTTATTTCATTTTATTTTATTAGGAAAACAAACAGTGATATTAAATCTAGTACATAATACTGTAACGATAACTGTTCACCAATTACATGCTTTCACTTATACGAGGGTCAAACTGAAAGTTCTTAGAAAATCAAAAACTGATTACATTAGCCAGTTATTAGTTTTATTATATCTTTTCAAAATATTGTCCATTCACGTCAATACACCGCTGCATGCGATGGAACCACTGGGAAAAGCACTTTGCCCACTCGTCCTTAGGGGTCTCTTCAATGGCATCGCGATACGCAGCCACCGCTTCTTCAGCATTCATAAACCGCTTTCCTTTAAGTTTTTCTTTAATTTTTGGAAATAAATAAAAATCACAAGGCGCGAGGTCGGGGCTATACGGCGGGTGACCCAGTAATTCAACGTTTGATGTCGCCAAATAGTCGATCGTTCGCTTGGCGGTGTGCGACGAGGCGTTGTCGTGGTGAAGGAGGATCCTACTGCGAGGTCGTTTCTCTCGAACTTTTTCCAAGACAAGTGGCAAACAATTGGTAGTGTACCATTCTGCAGAAACTGTTTTTTGATCCTCTAACACAATTGTTGCAAAATGACCTATCCTTCCAAAGAACGAGGCCACCATTTTTTTTCCCGCACTTCGATCTCTCTTCACTTTAGTTGGCAACTCCTCGAAAGGAAACACCCACTGAGCAGATTGTCTTTTGGTTTTAGGATCATAACAGTAAATCCAGCTTTCGTCACCTGTTAGTATGTCGAACACAGCATTTGAGTCACCTCCGTTAAATCTTTCAATCATTTTACGACACCAATCCACACGATGGAGTTTTTGAGCCTCAGTCAAATTATGAGGTATCCACCGGGCGCAAAGCTTCCTGACCGCTAAATGTTCGTGGAGGATTTTGTGCACTTGACTCATACCGATGCCTAAGCTTGTCCGAATCTGTTGATAGGTCACTCTTTTGTCAGTCTCTATCATACGCCGCACAACACAGATGTTATCTTCAGTCGTCGCCGTAGAAGGCCGTCCCTCACGTAAATCATCAGTGAGATTAGTGCGACCACGTTTAAACTCATTAAACCAGTTGTAAACAGTCGCACGAGATGGGGCTTCATCGTGAAAGGCCAATCGTAGTCTATCATAACTTTCTTGTTGACTTAAATGACATCGAAAGTCATAAAAAATCATTGCACGAAAATTTTCTCGTGTTAAATTCATGATGACGTGACACAGACAATTTTCAATTTGCCGCCAAATCGTAAAACAAATGACAAATGAATGAAATATATACTCAGTAATATTGGCAAAGAGTTATATTTTCAAATTTTAGAATTATTTTTTTATTATATTGTTTATAAGTGGCCAGTTCTAAGAACTTTCAGTTTGACCCTCGTAAAATTATTGTTTTATAACGCTTTAGTAATGTGAAGAAATCTATACAAAAAGAAAAGAAAAAAAACATATAATACAATTATTAACTTCGTAAATAACTAAATTTTTCTTTTTATTGTGAGGGAACCGACTCTAGCCAAAAGTCTAATACGGCCTTTTTGAAAGCAGCTGAATTTGAACAGAAAATGTCCACATCTGAAAAGCCAGTCAGCCGATTGTAAGCTTTTGCCGACCTAATAAAATATGAGTTTTGTCTATAATTTGTACCACTGCGTGCAATGGTAAATGTTGGTTGAAGTCTTATTGACTTATTGGGGACTCGCATCGCAATCGGGATATTAGGCATCCTATTATTTAATTGCTATAAATATATATTAATACTCGTTATACTTATGTTTATGCGTTTAGTTAGGTGTATTTATGTGTAAAACTGATTTTATACTATCACAATCTAGTTTCTCTTTACGGACCGCCTCGTGTATTAATTTGTATACAACTCTTAAAGGCATCAAGTCCGAGTTCAATAAAATCAAAATAAAATATAATGAATAGCCGGAAAAGTTCATCGACCTAATTCAGACGTAATTGCAAGCATAGATTCCAACCACGCATATTACGTGTACCTACAATAGACAAGTCGCCGAGCCCAATGACACACATACTCAACGGAGTGCACATCAAAAAGGTCACAACTTACAAACTGTTACGCGAACCAGTCTCGGCAATATTCTATTCATAACATTATAAATAATTTTAGCAACAACGCGTCTCTACTACAATATCGACTGTCATTATGTTCGATAAAACCTTTATCGAACATAACACATCTTGACCTTAGCGTTAAATATATAACCAGTGCGTTTTGTGCTGTCGCGTGAGCAAGAACTGAATAGAAAAAGAATACACGGTCTTTTTTTTTAATTTCAAAAATGAGGTTATTCATTTGTTTGGTATTATTAGGTTTTCTGTGGTGTGTGTCGTGTAAGAATGTTAACTTCGGAAATAAAACGTCGAGCTGTAAGAGACGAGACAAAGTGTTCTGCGAAGCTATACCGTGGAAGAAGAGAGTGTACTATTACGAGTACACCGGGCCGGACGATCTCATAATAAAGGTGATTCTACATTCATGCTCGTGTGTAATTAAAATTATGTCTGTCAATCATTCTGTATGTCGCAATTGACGGGCTTGAACATTAAGTTATTAACTTAATAATCCAGCTAGCCTGTCTACCCACATTTAGAACGATATTATTGGTACAGTATGCGACAAATCGGATAATACAAAATTGAAAAACTTCTGTAGTCAAATCTTATTAATATGTTCTTAATTAATTTTGACATTTTATGTTAATCCATTATAATTAAAATTTCCTAATTCATTAGCCCGTAGAATCTTTTCTTACTTTTTTATAATTTCCCTTAGCCAAACCTAGAGAATGTTACCTCGTAGAGAATGCTACTTTAGCAAAAAGCCCGCCCTTTCCGTGTTTATATAAATAAATAAACAATTCATTCATATTCCTATTAAGTATTTATGTGAAATAATGCGTCCTAATCTGACGCGCTGATGTAACTTCTGAGGGACCAGGTCTTCTATAAAGTGTCGGGTTTAGGTGCTGGGGCCTGGTCTCCATAATAGAACTTTAGCTGGTACTCATCTTGGAATCCGAGCAATGTATATGATGTCTAATATTTCTTTCACCTACAAGAAGCTACATCATACGCAATTAACATGATCTATTATTTATTCTCTATTCGCGGAATTCCAACTACTAATCGTTTGTCGATAACATTGCCGGTATCGTTCAACATTAAATAGGTATTAAAGTTTCATAAGTGTGAGTTCAGTAAATATAAAAAGTAAACAATTCAACTAACTTATCGTTAGTCCATCCGAAATGGTGTTCATAAAGTTAGGAGGTCAAGAATTCAGCGATAAGAGCAAGGAAACAATTTAAGAATAACATTATTAAGTACACTAGAACCTAACTAATATAGTTTTGTGCGTGGATCTTCGTTTACGCAAATCTGATAAATTCCGATGACGAACGAACGTATTATTAAAATTTAACATCGTACACATCTTCGTTTATAAGTTTTTTGTCAGTCGGAAACAACCGGCAACTTTTCTATACTAATATATACATATAAGACTAAACTTAGTTACTGTTTGGAAGCAAATTGACAACAACAGAATAGAAAACGTCCAAATTACGACGTGTTGACTTGTTTTAGTTGATTAAAAATTAAGGCCTCACTGTATAATTTTAAAATCGATGGCAATCCTTTTTAAAGGTAGACAACAAAACACAAATGATGATTTGAATGATCAAGAGGCATAATAAAAACTTGGTAAATTAAAGTAATAGGTACTTGTGTCTAACGCTTGCCATAGATAATTTCGATTAACGTTAAATTAGCAATATCCTCCATCTATTACCTTTCAAAAAAGTAATGATCGCAATCGCCCATCACGTATCAAATAATTTTAGCGTGAATTTTGTGATTGTCTTTCATATTTCAAATTGAAATTATTTACTATAGATTAAAAAAAAATGGTAATTTAGCCTCTGATCAATGGTGATGTTCTTTATTACTAATTTTTAATACGAAATACAAGTGCTAAGTACTCCACTTGTGTTCTAAGGAATGTATATAGTAGTTCTCTAATATTCACTTATATTTAATTATCAGGCGGTTTATTGCTACGACTACCAGAACAGCGAGGCGTCAGTGAACCTGACGGAGGGCGGGCCCGGTTACAACTACGTATCGTTGAGGATGAAGAGTCAAAGAAGCTACCGTCTCGACTACACCATCGAGATATACGACTGATTGATACACACGCGTTATGGATTCACAGGATAATTAGACAAAATTATGAAATCTGTGCCTAAGGCGCCTACCACACGTGCATGCTTGACCACAGTTTTACTTGCGCATGCCGGCTTTGGGGTTTGCGCATGCTACCATTTTACCAACTACACGCACAGTGTTCAGTGTACAAGCCGGCATGCGCAAGTAAAACTGTGGTTAAGCATGCACGTGTGGTAGGCGCATAACTCGCAAGATATCACAGTAACATAGGACACATTGAAATAGTAGTTAATGTAACTTTATATTCATATCAGCCAGAAAATATGTATATTTGATTGAGCACTGAAAAAATAACATTACTAAAATTGGTTAACAGCGACATCTGTATGTCTAATTCCGATTTATTCTGTACAACTGTGCTCTTAAAAGCAACATTCGATCTTATCATGCCGTGGCCTACTTATTAAATAAGATAGACAACGAAGATGTTCACTATACCTGTAAATATATCGGATATCGATTTAATGCTTAGATTATAAAATAAAAAAGTACCTTAAGAAACTGAAATAGACAACTTTATTGCGCTAACAAAATTAAAATAATTAAGTTTAAGATCTAGTTTAGATTCTATAGAATCGAGTGAGATAATTGTGTAATTTTAAAATTTACCGCAATATGTTACAAAAGTATAGCCATTAATTATATGTAAAACAACGGTCAGTTGATTTGTTGAAACCGGACATTTGATATTTCACGTGGCCGAATAATAAAGAGAGTTGAGCGTGTCGACATGGGTTGGGCAGTGATTTCGTGAATTATCACATGTGGGTACCTGCCTGCGTCACTTGGGGGTGGCTGATAACGTTATTACCTTTTGTTATATTTTAATAAGCCGTCCTCAATGTTTATGTTGTCATAAAAAAGATTTCATTGTTTCCAATTAACGTTTGTCCATTTATTAAGGATTTAAGAAAGTTTTTGGTAAACATGTGATAGAGGACAGGCGAACACATAAGTGTCGACTTTATCATCATCATCGTATCAGCCGTATGACGCCCACTGCTGGACATAAGCCTCCCCTATAGAGTGGTATTGACTTCAATTTATATAAATAATCATTAAAAATCTGGTTAATGAAAATGTACTCTAAAAACAGTGTATTGAAATACAGGCAGACAGGTTCCAGTTGTAAGAAGTAAGTAATTAAGTACAGAATTCTTTAATTCTTGTCATATATATCCAATAAAACAGCACACGAAAAGATAACTTCCAAATTTTCAAATGCGTTCAAAAAACCTGAAAAACATTCCCTTATAAATTAATAACTGATTGTAAACTAAAATTGAACCAGTGCCTAATTGAGATGTCTCTTAATTGGATTTTATCGCTAAATGTCAATTTAACACGAAGATGAATAATTAAATGACGTAACAACGACAGTCTGACCGATTTCAATTAATTATAGGTATATGGAATAGTTTTATGACTAATTAAATAGATAAATTGAAAAATAGGATTGCACACACAAAGAGTAAAAACCCAACTGTTCCGTCATGGGTAATCTATATGTCGCAGTAAGATAGACGAAGCCGCAATATAGACGTTAAAACATTGATTTCATTTGTTACGTGTTAAAGTTATGTATAACCTTAACTTTTGTACAATTTGATACATCAAATGGTATAAAATGAGTACTAGATCTACTGGTATCCTTACTTTGAAGTGATACTCTGCATAAATATATAAAAAAAACTATTATTATGTAATCCACCAAAATACGGTAAGACTAATTAACTATATTCATAGAAGAGCGTGTAAACTGTACCAAACTTAGACTCGAAAGCTAATGTATGACTCATTCTGAAGACCTATCCGGTCAATCAACAACACACGAGGAAAGTATCACTCAGACATAAATAAAAAAAACCTGTCCCAGCCTTTATAGAGCTATGTAAGTCTTGAGAAAATCTGAGATCTTATTCTCAGAATATGTTTCATTTATGTCGGTAGCTCTTAAAATAGATAGAAGGCGGGTAGACGGAGTCTACGGGGCTTTTCTTTGAAACCTCAGCAGATTAGCATTTGTGGATACGTCTTTTGCTAATTTTGCAATAGGTATCACATATGTATCATGTCCTTAACATCCTAATGAGCTCATTTGTTCTCGCTGTGTATTACCGCCATGAACAACCCACCCATACATAATAAGAGAGAGAAGAGTTTTATTTCTCTAGAACTATAATTTGGGATTTAATAATTCGTTTTGCAATTGTTTACCAAATTCTTGATGCAGATTCTGCGGCTCTTTAACGTGTAGAACCGCGAGGCAAAGCAAGTCACTAACAATTTTGTATTCATATCACAGGGACCGCGCTTGTTATCATTCTGACCTGAAATTTGTCGGCCACAATAAATTGGCCACAGCAATAAATAATCTGTTATCGGTGACCGCATCGCGGACAATGCAAGATATCTTTACACTACCTTTTTAGTGACAACAAATCGTGACAATATATGGTGACATCGTCTTAATATTTGATGGGACAAAAGATAACGAGTTTATAGTCTCGTTTTGACATCCAACCAAAATTCAAGTAGATATATAGACGTTTTTAATGGTCATGACGTAGATGGATGTTCACCAGACGAATATGGAATTAAAAATTGTTATGTACAATCAAGGTGTCCCTCTTAAACATTGAAAAGAGCTTCTAATTTTTTTCACCAAGTCGCTTTTGCTGAATATTTAAGTAAGGTAACATGATACATAAATTATATAACAAAAAGGATATGCCAAATCACGTCCGGCAAGTATTTGGGTGAATTCAAGGTACACCACATGACTTGGCTTGCCAGACATTCAGGACTAGTCTAAATTATCCCAATATTTCGAATGACGTCCAGCCAGAGTCCCGGGAAAAAAAATAATGGATTTAGATCGGGAAAAATAGCCTTCGAAATATTTCCATAAAGGGGGAGTTTTTTTGTCATTAATCTTTTCCGGGCATTTTGTTTCAACTACGTTCCAAAATTCCGACTATTTGAAACGTTTGTCCAAATATTTTAACGTACCCAGGTGGTAAAACTAATTTTGACAAGGAGTTTCATTAACACTTCCCTCGATTGAGATTTTTCCTTTGTATATGATTTTCTTGACCATTTATAAAATCAACATCTTCATTTGCTTGCTCTTGCCCGATTATTCAAGACTTGGTCAGCATACCGTACATCTATCGTACATACTTTTCAATCAGCCATAACATCAACATTTTACCGATATCTCTCATATATCAATATTTTCTTTTTTTTTGATTTTCGTTCATTATCAAGTCGACATTGAAGAAAAATTACTACTTTGATATAATTACATAGCAGATTCTCATCAAGATGATGCATCTTGATGAGAATCTGTAAATCTAAATAAGAGTGTTAAAAATGGAGGAGCCCGCGAGCCATGAGTTAATAATAGAACCAGATGAAAAACATTTGTTAGACACCTCATTGCCCATAGCAATAACCAAAACAAAGCCGTATTAGGTGAGAGGCGCCGCATTGCGCAAACGCAGCGCATGCCGTTACACGATCTCGATTGATTCCCTCCGAAGTTGGGCTGGAGCAATGAACTGATGAATACATACCATTACTGTAACTTTCATATTAGAAAATACATTAAAAATATAACATTAGTGCAGTAGACAGATTTTACTTAACTGTCATTCGTCTCTAGGAACTCGATAGCGTATTTTATGCCAATCTTGTTCTTGATTTCGATGGTTGTTAAGCAACTTTCAGGATGGCCGGTCGTAGGATGGGTGACCAAAAAATTACTATCTCGAGGTCCTCCGTGCTGCGGAAGGCACGCTAAGCCGTTGGTCCCGGCTGCATCTGCAGTCGTTAATATCCACCAATTCGATTGGTGGTCGATATACCGCTTGGTGGGTCATAGCCCATTCTACCCATGCGATATTTCATCCATAGGGAAGACCCGAGCCCCAGAATTGAGGAGATTAAAAGGCTGATGATAACTGTAATTTATCTGGAAGTCCAACTTATTTCAGTTTTTCTGTACGAGGTTCTTTTTGGCGTACTATCATTTTTTTATCTTAAATTGTCCTTCAAGTTTACTCACAGTCTACAGAGAACAGAAAATCCATTTTATATGCTCTAGCGATGTTCATGGTGAGTTAACTTATTTATACCTTCAAGTACTCGTGATTATGGAAAACTGAAACACCTTAGGTACCACAACACCCAGATCTGAGACAATGCAGAAAAGTTAATTTTCTGTCAACAATGGCGTTGGTGATAGCTATAAGAATCTCCATGGTTTACAAATCAATCGTTCAGTCAAATCAGCCCCCTAATTGTCTAATTTTAAATCTATTGCAATCGCTTTCAGTTTGAAAGGTGTTGCACAACCATTGCTGCATAATACAAATACTTTTTTTTCAACTGTCTTCAGAAACAAGCAATGGTTGTGCAACACCTTTCAAACTGAAAGCAATTGCAATAGATTTAAAATTAGACAATTAGGGGCCGGGCATCAAATTGACAAGTTCATGTGGGTATATAAAGAAATTAGAATTAGTCTATCGATATTTTATCTTTGAAAACAGGCGCATAGTATCGATACGATACCATTAAAGTACGATACCGTGTATCTATAGAGTAAACTACGGATTTCTACTTGAAATTTTAGACGTCCCAAAACGTTGATTTGCCCATAATTGCTATAGGGGTACTAGAATCTGATGGCAACAAAAGAAAAAATCTAGGATTTCATATGGCAATATAAATTGTCTACTGTTGACAACTGTCAAGTCAAGGTGTAAATGAATGTGAATATTTCTTCAAAATATTAATTTATTTTGGGAAAATGTCCAAAAAAGCTATTGTTGTCTCAAGCGAGAAATATTGTTTTTAATTATTTATAGTAATATTTGTGAAAAGAAGCTGAAGATTAATGTTTTTTTTTTTATTTTAAAGTGTATTTATTTATATATTTGGCCGGTAACTAGCAATGACGAGTCTTGATACTTAATTTCAATTAAA